TAGTATGGTTCGGCATCACGTTCTTCTTGACGCTTTTCGTAGTAGTAGTATGGTTCGGCATCACGTTCTTCTTGACGTTTTTCGTAGTAGTAGTATGCTTCGGCATCACGTTTATCTTCTTGACGTTTGTCATAGTAGTAGTATGGTTCTCGCTTGTCGTAGTAATAGTATGCTTCGGCATCACGTTTGTCGTAGTAGTAGTATGGTTTGGCTTCTGAAATAAATAAAAAAAAAAGTAAAAAAAATCAGTAAGAAATATTAATCTTACGTTTGTTATTATCACTTTATGGTATCATTTTTTTACCTGTAACTACGGCCGAAGCCAATAAAGTTACAGCGGCGATTATGGAAAAGACCTTCATTACTATTATTTTATTTTGTAATTATTACTTATATATATATATTATTATTATTTGAAGGTACTTTTTGAGGTGAAGAATTAAGTTGGAGGAAATTCGGAGGTTTATATAGATATTTCTCTCCATAAGATTTACCAAGAATCCATAAGAAGTTTATTTGATGCTTAGCGAACCACTGTAGTATTGATAGAGATAGTGTAATAACAATCTACTGTTTAATTAACTCAAAGAACGCCACTAAGGCTTTGAATTTGTTGTTATTATTTTATTTAGATAGATAACCTCAAAACGATGAAATTCTTATGATAACGTATCGGTTAACATATAGTTGATTTTAATGTATTAACATAAATTTTTGGTTAATACAGTATATAGTTAATTTAATATTTCAACATAAATTTTGTTAACATTTGATTTTAGAAATTGTTTGAACATAATTAAAAAATTCTAGTGAAATTAACAATGGTAAAATAATTTCATCACTATTGGTGAGAATAGTTTCATCTGTATCTCTAAACATAATAATGAATAATGCTCCTTTACCTAATCACATGATAAATAAAGCTTTATGCTTACTAGTGAAATGATTGCATAGAACGTATACATTGTTTCTTTATCATTAAAATCATAAAGTTATTATTTGTGCAATCTTTTAAATGAGGCTAATAATGTAAGATGTAGAACTTTTTTCTATATAATTAATGGTATTAAAATGAAAAATGGGCATTTTTATAATTGTAATTAAAATCTTAAGTTCTTGAATGAGGCTTTTAGTGTAGCAACTTCGAAAACAGATTATAGTCGTTCGATAAAATCGATTTTTTTTATTAATAAATATTTATTTGTTAAAATAAATTTCCTTAATTTACTCAAAAAAAAAACGATAACATAATATAATATTTCTACGTAAATTGTTTGGATGGCGTCATTTCTTTAAAAAAAGCATAAGCCCTGTTAAATGCTACGCCACAAGCAAAAATATCAATCCTAAATCATCAGTTGTCGACAACCAATAATATTCAACGTCATAATAATAATAATGCTTATTTAATACGTACACGTAATATCTGATATGTACACGTAATACGTACTTACGTACGCACTCGTGCCTGAAATATGTCTATTTCAAACATGGCTTATACTCTTGCGGACGCTGACGATTATTTCAACAATTTCGAGCAAATGATAAATATCATGGCTTTTGAATAGCTTAGTTTGTTTATAAGAAAAACTTTTACTTGGGTTAGAAGTGATAAAGCCATCTTGTAAATACAGTAGATCATTATTCAATTACATTTCTACATAAAATAATCTGTATTTGAAAAAAAGGATAATCTTGGCTACATAATGAAACCTTTTCTTTTTTGTTTATTTAGATTTCATAGATTATAACAATGTTAACATCTAAGCCAGATCTAGATCACAGGGTTGCTTATCGCTCTCCTGGAGAACTTCTGAGGAAGTTATGGTCTACCCGGTTCAATGAGAACTGATAAAAATCAGTTTAACTATAGGGTTCAAAGTATAAATTTGATTTTGGTAACATGATCACAAATATCATACTGTATATGTATATACGAATATTTAAAAAAAACATAGTAGGCTCAGTTAAGAATTCTTTCAACTTTGAATTGAATGATTCACGTGTTCGCTTTATTCACACTCATAATTATAAGAAAATTGGTCTATTCTTTCATGCTATATACATACAATAGATAAAGACAATTCGTTTTAAAACATCACTTTCGAATTAGTAGGTAAATAGAAACTATTTGAACTCTGACAAAACGGATATTTTCGGAGTATAAAGTTGTCTTTTTCTGATTGACCAATTAAAATCTGTAATTTGCGGACAAACGCAAAATCTACTCTGTCTCTATCTGTAATGTTTTTTCGGACACGTTGTTACAGTGCGTTACATGTATATTTGCTCTAATTTATTCTTATAGAGGTGATAGCATAACTTGGTATTACAATTTTTATTCTGTTAGAACCGAATCATTATGTAAGCCAAAAGTATCGAGTAGTACCAAAATTAATTCATAAAGTTTTGTTATATCTATTTAAAAATAATATTTTTATTTTTGTAAATTTTATTGGATTATTATTAACAGCTTATAATATATGGGGTGAGTCAGTAGAAAAGAGACAAATTTTTTTAAGTGAAGTTTTCTTAAGCTTAAATCAACAATTATCTTATCAAATTTATAAATTTTTTTTTTATTCAAGTTTACTAAAATGCACCTATGGTGCTGAACACCATAAGTACTATTTCTCAAAAACGTACTACCGTAAAATGGCCGGATACCTGGATACAAGACCCGGATCTGTTACATTTCACCAATTTTAAAACCTATAATTAGACCCGTGTGTCTTTTGTATGATGTGGATGTATTTATTAAAAATTTACATACTTCTTCTTTGCAAATAGGTATCAGATAGATATCTGAAAATATTACTCTTAAATTTAATGCTGCAATAAACAGTATTCTTAACTCAACTAGAAATGAACTAGAAGCTATTTTATACTTACTTTTTACAATTTCTAAAAACCAACACATCCTTATACATCTTGATAATGTCACAGCTATTCTAATCTTTTACTATATCCAAACCTATCTAACCAAAAAACTAGAATATTCTTTATATAATTAACCAAATTAAAACTTTTAAAAAAATTAATTTTACACTTCATAAGGTTAAATTCTATTCTAATAATACCTTAAATAATCAAGCAGATTTTGCCAAACAAGGATTACATAAATCAATTTTTACACTCAGCACTAATTGCAACTTTTTATCTTTTTTCTTAAAATAATAATTTATACCTCTCAAAATCTGCTTCTTTATTCAACAAACAATTAATATCAAAAGCCTTCTTACCTAAGCTCAACAAAAACATCTTTAATTTAATGAAGCAATAAAATGGTCTATTAATTTTGAAATTCTAAATTCTTTAAAACAAAATCATTTCAAATATTCATTTCATATTAAAATATTAATAAACAATCTACCAGCTATGGTTAATTTAAATATTTATTATCTTTACTTTATACAACTAATAAATACATCTGTTGGGTTAGAGTCTCATAGCCTAGTAGTCTGGGTGTCTAACCCTTCACAGACAAGGTCAATGGTTCGATTATAGCTGGTGATAATTAATTTAATTAATTATCTCTGTAACTTTCGGGAGCTTTCGAATGCGAAACTCTGTGGTGGTAAGACCATGTGATGTATATATTTGACCAATAAAGAATTCTTGGAAGGAGCCCTGAGCCATGGAGAAGACTGGGCACTGCATGTGACATGGATCACAGAAGGTATTACTGCAGAAGGCTGTGCGTGTGAATCTATGATTAGCAAGGTAGTACCAACAACCCTAAGGCGGCATTGGGATCTTGATTGGAAGGACGGCTGAATGCAGTATATCCAGAAGTGATGAGAGAAGTGGTGAACATAGTAAGGGGCTATGGTAAGAGGATGGCTTTACTAAATATAGAACACCTCTGGCACAAGGAAACAAGGAAAACCGGCTAAAAGAAACCCTGAAAGTATTGAAGCAGGTGATCCAGCAGTATGAAAATAAAGACAGGCTAGGGAGTAATAGTCACACAACCTATATGGGAGTCTATGATGAAACATAGCAGAGGCGCCGGTTCCGGGTTACTGGATTGTAATAGTAATTAAATGAGGTACTTAACTTCTGTCTTAAGGATCCAGACCTCTGTATCACTATACCAATAGGGAGTATTATAGAAGGATCAGTAGTCTAATTTGGTGATGTATGATGTGAATACATAGATCAACGTGAAATATCATCCTAGTTTGGCAACTTAACTGTTTGAGATATGGCTAAGCCCATAAAGTAACTCTTCTAGAGACACCAAACTGGAAGCATCAAGAGCACCCACTTGAGAAACACCAATTTGGAAGTGGTACAAGAAATGAATTAGAAGTAATGTAATAAGTACTGAGAGGTAGAAGTTGGCTAGTAGACGTTGTACAGTAGTATATAAGCGGGATATATATGATAATATAGATTTATGAGCCATCCGGTGATTTAATAATTGGTCTGGTCAAAAGGGGTGGTTACTAAGAAGGTAAAATCTCATATAGCAGATCGCACATAGATACTAAGTTAGTAACCAGGTGAGCCTTATCTGTAATAAATTAGATAGTTGTAAATATATATGTACGTTTGTAACTACAATACCTTAGAGTACTAATAAACAGTAAAAACAAGACTGCTGAATTAAAAAAAAAATAAATAAATACATCTGTTGTAATCTACAAGAAGATATTTCACATCTATTTTTATATATACAAACCAAAATTATCATATATAGTATACTAATCAAAGTACTCAGGGTCCAATACAATCTAACCAAAAAAAACTTATAAAGTACCTATAGGCAGTGTTATCACTTGGACCAAACTCAAACAGGTCCTGGACCAGACTCGGACAATTAAATTTGTCTGCTGGACAAATATAATTAAACAGCCAATTATATTTCAGTATATCGTTATAAATCTCTACTATCTAATTCTGAGTTTGTCAATTTTAAAGATTTTGATTGGCTGTTTGTAAAAGTTTGCGTGGCATTGATGCTATATAATAAATATCGTAATATTATAACAATCTTGGATGAATTTATCAAAGTCAAATATATAACTATTGCGACACTTTTGATTATCTGTATAATTGTCAAATTTAGAGATCATCTAAAGCATCATCACATAAATTTTATTAAAAAACTACAACCTATTTTTATAATCAACCTGTAAATTATAATAATTAATTCTTTTATTTTGACGAGAAAATGTATAATTAACTGTAATCATTTAATCATTCAAATAAATTACCAAGGTGAGTACAAAGTTTAATTTAATATTGTGTTTCAAGAGAATATGTAATTAACCATATTTATTTAATTGTTCAAATAAATTACCAGAGTAAGAACAAAGTTTAATTCAATTTGCTTTAATAATTGTGTTTCAAAAGAATGTGTGATCAACCATAATTATTTCAATCATTCAAATAAATTGCCAGGGTGAGAATTAAGTTTAATTCAATTCACTTTAATGATTGTATTTCAAGAGAATGTATGATTAACCATAATCATTTAATCATTCAAATAAATTACCAGGGTAAGTACAAAATTTAATTCAATTTGCTCTAACAATTGTGTTTTAAGACATTGATTAATCACAATCATTTAATCATTCAATAAATTACCAAGGTGAGTACGAAGTTTAATTCGATTCGCCTTAACAACTGTGTTTCAAGAGAACATGTAATTAACCATAATTATTTAATCGTTCAATAAATTACCAGGGTGAGTATGAAGTTTAATCTGTTTTACCTTAACAATTGTGTTTCAAGAGAGTGTATGATTAGCTGTAATCATTTAATCATTCAAATAAATTACCAGGGTAAGTACAAAGTTTAATTTGATTTGCTTTAATGATTGTGTTTCAAGAAAACATGTGATTAACTATAATTATTTAATTGTTCAAATAAATTACCAGAGTGAGTATGAAGTTTAATAGTTTAATTTGATCTGCTTTAACGATTGTGTTTTAAGATATTGATTAAATAAATTACCAGAGTATGAAATTTAATTCAATTTGCTTTAATGATTGTATTTCAAGAGAACATGTGATTAATTATAATCATTTAATCATTCAAATAAATTACCAGGGCAAGTATGAAGTTTAATTCAATTCACTTTAACAATTGTGTTTCAAGACATTGATTAATTGTAATTATTCAATCGTTCAATAAATTACCAAGGTAAGTAAGAAGTTTAATTCGATTTGCTTTAACAATTGTGTTTCAAAAGAATGTGTGACTAACTATAATCATTTAAATGTTCAAATAAATTACCAGGGTGAGAACAAAGTTTAATTCAATTTACTTTAACAATTTTATTTTAAGAGAATATATGATTAACCGTAATCATTCAAATGTTCAAATAAATTACCAGGTAAGTACGAAGTTTAATTTGATTCGCTTTGATTAACTATAATTATTTGATTGTTCAATAAATTACCAAGGTGAGTACGAGGTTTAATTCAATTCGCCTTAACAACTATGTTTCAAGAGAATGTGTGATTAACCATAATCATTTAATTGTTCAATAAATTACCAAGGTGAGTATGAAGTTTAATCCATTTCACCTTAATGATTGTGTTTCAAGAAAATGTATAATTAACTGTAATCATTTAATCGTTCAGAGTATGAAATTTAATTTGATTCGCTTTAATGATTGTATTTCAAGAGAACATATGATTAACTATAATCATTTAATTGTTCAAATAAATTACTAGGGCAAGTATGAAGTTTAATTTGATTCACTTTAACAATTGTGTTTCAAGACATTAATTAATCATAATCATTCGATTGTTCAATAAATTACCAAGGTAAGTAAGAAGTTTAACTCAATTCACTTTAACAATTGTGCTTTAAGAGAATGTGTGATTAACCGTAATC